TGTGTGATGTATATGTTTATCTTAACGATGAGGAAACATTATGGCTTGCATCACGGCATAACAGAAATGGCCACTTCAACCACCATATGACACACCGCAACTACGTAAGTGATGTCACTATAATATGCATCATTTTAATTTAGCTGGAAGTATGCCGTGCCAGCCTGTTTGCAATGCATTCTGATGCCACTGAAGTTCCATCTAATCTTTTACAGTGGAGAAAAGTGTGCACAAATTGTATTTTACTGCCGGTAAGTCACTACAACTGATGCATACTTATAACTATATACAAGATGAATGTGAATTAATCGTACGATATGGTTCCAAATTCCATGGTCAAAATTTTTTGTAAGTTTAATTATCATATTGGCATGCTAAAATTACCAGTTGCCCCTTCATGTTATGACTTTCTTTATTTTTATTCACAAATATCTTAATTTAAATATGTCAGGAGAGTGGAGCTACATGTATAATTATAATTATTTTTGAAAATCTAGGAAATCTCTCGCACACAAAAGGAAAACATATTTGCTCAGTCTACATTTCATAGTGAAATTTGGGATGAAGTTAATGATGTAATGAATATGTTTGAGGAGGGAGAGCTGAAAGGACAGAGTAAAGGCGGCATTCCTAAGCAGCATCATCTCAACCTATTTGCAGGTATAAGACTGCACAATTATTGATAATATTAATAATTGTTATTATTGTATTCATGATAATCGTTTTGACGATTTAACATAAAATTGCCCATCCCTATTTGCAGGTTGCCTCTAGCAATACAGAAGGAGTTATTGGGTTTGGTTATTAATAAGGAGATTTGCTTAAAGGATATGAAAACCAGAGCTGATAATTTTAGGCAGTATGAGATGATGAAGGCATTTGTACGATGCACAAATTCTAGAAATTGGGATGAAGCGATGAGTTTGTATCCCTATTTTATTGACAGGCTTGGTCAGTTTTCAAGATTGACTTTTAGCAAACTATAGCTACCAGATACATTTCTGACATTTTGTCAAGCTGCAATAGACTCAAGACGAGGTACATTTATTGTAATACCAATTGCAACAACTATATTTGAATTTGTCATACTAGGTGAACCGTGTGGAGAAGCTGTCAAAAAGTTTGGAGATTATATTATCACGTTAGTTGAAGGCAGCTTACAAGCATGTTCATCAAGAGCAATCAAGAAAGCAAACACCTCTTACAATGGAGCTCATCTCATTTTAAGCAATATTAGGAAAGTAAGTAGCTACCGCATGCTGTACAGCTGGAAATATTAGTGGGGAATTAAAATTTGTGAGTTTGTGGAAGAATCCAAAATGCAAAATTTGTTGAAATTAATATTTTTAGCTTGCAAATTTTATAATGATAAGATACATGTATAGTGGAATTCATTTTTTTGTTTTTGAGTATTCACAAAAATAAATTCCACACAAAATAAACTTTAGCATTGTGTGTAATTATATGATTAAATTTTTTGTAGGACTGCACTTCTGAATCTCTTGAAAAGATAGTATACAACAGTCGTGAGCTTAATACTTCATTTACTGGAATAAATTTCTTCTCTTTCATTGTCATGGTTGAATTGGCTGATGTTGACATGGTCAAAGAGGCACTCTCAGTTTGTTACAATAAGATTGAAGTTGTTTACATTTATAATGAACTAGCTTCAAAACCAAGTAGGTCAACTCATACACTATTATTGGTGTGATTGCTCTTTGGTGACTGAAGACACCTGTGGGATTTTGATACCAGCTGTGAAACCAATAGTTGTAGCTGTATGGTCACAAATTGAAGACATGCAGCTTCCATTTGAAGAAAGTCTAAATGTCATTGCATACAGTGACAAAGATAACAAGGGCAAAATGTCACCTTTGTTAAAAGAAAAACTAGCGAAAAGGTTTTCTTTTGATGGACAAACAATAGTAGATGCTACTGATACAGGTACATGTACATAATATTGATTAACACTGATGTCCGTCATGTAATAATAGTAATAATAGTAATTACTATACACAAAATGTAGTAATAATTTTGTTCACTAGTCTGTTGTTAAGTAAATGCTGCCACTAGTTTTTTATTATTGTAAATGGTAACCACGGCCATAACAGTCCTCACTATCACAGGTGCCATAAATACCTCCACTTTATAGTATAACCTATGTGTATACAAGTAATAATTATACTGACAAATAACTAATTTCAATATATTCCCTTGAAATTGTACAAATTTGTACACTTAGTTTTAATGCTTGTAATTTTGAAGTACAATTTGGAACAAATTTGTGATTTGGTAAAAAAATGTTATACCTTTCCCATTCTCTTGTTAGGGCCAGGTGATATTCTTAGTGTCGAGAAATTTTGTCATCCTGTATGAAGAACCATTAATTGGACAAGAGATTGAAACAGTTTTAAATAAATAGTTTGACTGGCATTAACTTATATCAAGTGTATAAGATTATAATAATAATTAGTATAATAAAAGCACAGTTTACTTTTAAAAATAAAAGTTAACTTTATAAAATAATGTGTTCATGGCAGTGTGTCCACACCATTCCTCCGGCTCCGCAGATAGTGAAAGTCGGGGCAAGACTCATACCCATAAACATATAAAAAAGACAATTTACTTTATGTATTTACCTTACTTGAAGAGATTAAACTAATGAAGTGAATGAAGGCAAATTGAAGCATAAATACAAAGTTCTGTGGAATTAAAGTAATTATTAAAATTATTAACGTCTCTCACTTGAAGTGAATTTTGGTGGAAGTAGATAGGGTGCTTCGGCAGCACATCATCTTAATCTCATTACAGATCGGTCCGTAAGCTGTGAGATAAGCAGTAATTGCAAACGAAGGAGTCCCCATCAAATAATACTAAGCATGCACATTTGGATGCATCAAAATGGCGTCCAACAACTTGGTGAGTCATTGTGTCAATCAAAAGAACGACAAAAATCATTTCGTAGAAATACAATGCCAAGCCACAATGTGCTAGCGTCCCTCAAGCGCAACAGAATGGTGCAAAAGTTTTATTTTTAGGATAAAAACTCTAGGACTAGTTCTTACTTAACTGTGGAAGGACAAAGCCTAACATTTGGTGCATGCATGCATTCATTTGCCATAAAACTACTTTATGAAAGTTTTTAACTACTTTTTATAAAACTGATGTGTTAACATAAAATACTTATAAAGGATATCTAGACCGTCGAAAAAGCCACAAAGAATTCCTGAAGATTTACACTGGCTCAATGCTTCAGGGATGGCGGCCATTTAGAGGGTGTGCTCATCCAACTCAACCCTGCATACCGAGCGCTAACGCTTGGTAATAAAAATAAGAGTAATAATAACAACGAGACACCAAAGGTGCATGGCCTCGCCCCTAAAGCTGCTTGGGATGTGTTATGCTTAGCTAGCCTCAGCCAGTACATCAATTTTTGAGAAAACTGTTGAAAGATATTCGTTATAAAGCTGGCTGCAGAGGTTTGTCACATTTGCATCCACATGTCTACACCAATGTGTCATCTTCAGATGCTAATTTACACTTACCTTTGTTGCCAGGAAATGTCTTGGATGTATCATATCTTGTCAATATTAAAAAGAAGTTTAGGCATAGAGGTGGTAGAGAAGCTGCATTGAGATCTCTGGAAGAAGATAAATTGGGAAAGCTAGTTTGAAGCATAATCCAAGAAGTTCTGTAAAG